TTAACCCTTGCAGTGGGGTTCCCCCCATACTGCAAGGGTTAGGTGCTCATTTTTATTATTTCTGCACCTAGACCAAAATTAGCACTTAACCCTTGCAGTGTGGGGATAGCTCCACTGCAAGGGCAAAGGTACATTTTCCAGGAGTTCATCTTTAAACACAAGAAAATGCTTAGGGCTTCTGTAAGCCCCATGAGCCATTTAAAAAAAATCTTCACTGCAAGGGTTAAGAGAAATATTCCCCAGAGTTCTTCTTTAAATATGGTCTCTTATTAGCTCTATTGTTTTATGAATTTTTTCCACAGGATGGAAAAATGGACAGTGAATACAATTATACAAGTAGCAATGAATTGAACAAAAAAAAACCTCAAATGCAAAGAACACTTAAGAGTGTTAAAATAATGTTGTCCCTGTTATTACCTCCAGGGGAGTGGAAATGAAACTATTTAAAACTAACATGTTAGAGAGTGTTCAATGCCATTGGAAAAGTGTATGTGTATGCCAAAGTCATTTCTCTAAAGTCTGTGTGCCTGTAGTTAGGTAATTGGGTTTATTTACTGGGGGCTTGCTCACAGCAGCCTGCATGCTAAAACATGTGTGCTCCGCGGTTTGCCTTGTGTGGGGGCAGTGATTAGGAGATATCTATTACCATTTACCATCCACAGAAATACCTATTTGTCTGGAATAAAACAAGATGTAATGCACCGAGTCCTATTAGCAAGATTTTTGCACACATTGGTTAGTTGGTTTTGACTAGAGGTCTCAGCAAGGGATATATTTCGCTATCACAACAATCGGAGTCAGAATAATATATACAGGTTATGCTTACCAAGTTAAGGCTGAGCACTGTCACACACGCGCTCTACACCCAGCATCCACATGACTTATTTCGGTGGCAAGAGGGTCGAAAAATCACTATCTGTCTTCACTAGACCGGGGGATAATGTGAATGGACCCCTTGAATGTGACAATTTTTTGGTTTTAGATCTCCAAGATCAAAGTTATTCAAACCCCATTGCAAATCTGGTTTATTGGCAAACGTTACAGACCTTCAGCTTTTTCTGTTGAACAAATAAAACAAAAGCAATAGAAATATGTCAGCACAACAAATGTTTCAAGTGGTTTCCCCAAATTGTACTGGAAATGCAACTTTTGATGACCTCTGCAGTCTCAAATTTGTTCAACCCCTTTATTGCAAGCATCTTCAATACTTAGCGGAGCCCCCTTTTGCTGTTAGGACCTGCTTCAACTGAGATTCATAGCCAGACACCAGCCTCTGGGAGCAATTCTAAGGAATCTTAGCAGTTTCCTCATGAGTAATGGCCTACAACTCAGTTAAATTCTTGGGTTTGTGCAACCCTACCAAATCCCACCAAAGATTTTCTATGGGGTTTTAAGTAAGGTGACTGTGATGGCCACTGTAAAATCTTCCAGGTCTTCTTCTGCAACCAAGCCTTGGTGGATTTTAAGGTTTGCTGGGAATTACTGTCCTGCTGGAAGGTCCAATGAGGCCCATGCCTCTGCTTCCTCACAGGTGGCATTAAGTTTTCTCCTACGATTTCCTGATACTCCAATGAATCCATCTTGCCTTACCCATGCAACAGGTTTCCAGTGCCAGAGGATGCAAAGCAGCCGCAGAGCATCACTGAGCCACTGCCATGCTAAACTGTAGACAGGGTGCGCTTTTTAGTATATGTTTTGGCCGAAAAAAAATCCAGTTTTGCTTCATAGCTCCACAAAACAAAATCCCAAAACTTCTGTGGCTTACTTATATAATTTTGAGCAAATTGGAGTTGACTTTTCTGGTGCTTTTGGATTTGATCAGTATTCACTCGGCTGCCCTCGGCAGCTTTGTGAATAGACCCCATAGTTGAACTGAAAAGTAGAGCAGCAACAATTATTCGATTAAGTCGATTAAAATCGACGATGGAAAACGTTGTCAACGTTTTCCATCGTCGATTCGTCGGCTAAAATTCAAATTTCCCGCTCGCCGCTGCACGCCGATCATGCCTGCCACTTACGCCCACCGCTTACGCCACGCCCACGTCGGTTAAGCCGCTCGCTCCTACGCCGGTATACCCGCTCACGCGACGCTGCTTACGCCATGCCCACGCTGAGGACATGCGTCTGGCCCTCCCCTCCTGTTGAGCTTCCCAACTCGCTGCTGCCCGCCGACAACGAACAACGCCGCTGCCCGCCGACAACACCGTCATTCAAGGTAAGAGAGATCGGCTGGGAGCTTTTTAATGTTTCCTGTGTGTTTTTTTTTAAAGCGGCACACTGCAGAACATTAGCTATAGAGGAACACCAAATTCCAGCAATAATACATTAACCAGCCTGTATACACCCTGTATAATGTATTTTTGCTGGGATTTGTTGTTCCTCTATAGCTGCTAATGTTCTGCATTGTGCCGGTGTATTATACATTGGTTTTCTGCATTGCATTGCATTGCGCATGGTGTTCTGCATTGTATAATACAGCGACACACTGCAGAACACCAGCAGCTATAGAGGAACACCAAATCCCAGCAATAATATATTAAACAGCCTGTATAATGTATTATTGCTGGGATTTGTTGTTCCTCTATAGCTGCTAATGTTCAGCAGTGTGCCGCTGTATTATACATTGGTATTCTGTAGAGCTGCAACAATTATTAGATGAAGTCGATTAAAATCGACGATGGAAAACGTCAGCGTTTTCCATCGTCGATTCGTCGGCTAAAATTTTAATTTCCCACTCACGCCCGCCTGTGCGCGGCTCTATACACGAGTTACGCTATGCACGCCACGGACGACATGCCCATTGCGCACACGCCGCATACCCGGCCACCGCACAAGCCGGACACACGCCCGTAGAGCACGCCGCCGCCGCTGCAGCGACAGACAAGGGTTCAGAAACAGGTAAGGGGGAACTGTTTTAATGTTTCTTGTTTAAAACAAAAAATTTCTTGTGCTTTTGGATTAGATAAGCTGTGCATGGGAACACCTTTCTAAAGAAATTATATTTAAATTACTTTTTTTTATAAATGGATAATAGTCGAGGATATTGACTTACAGGGTTATCCACAAAAGAGTGAAGAGGCAGGAGAAGTGAACAATCTAGGACAACATAGTTGAACTGGAAAGTGAGCTGAATTGGATAATTTTTCCAAATCAGC